CCTTCGAGACCCTGCACTGCGAAAGAGTAGAGATCAACTTTCTATCCTTACCAGGGCTGGCACAGGTAAGGGAACCAGGTCGCGGGATTTGTAGCGCCTTGCCTTGCGAATGGCAAATTTCTCTGTGGGTGGTGATTTCCCAGCAATTCTCTGTTTGAAAGAGGAAACCTGCCTGTAAGGTAAAAACATGGAAATCACTGAAGTTTCACAAAGGTAGGGATGTGGAAATTAAAAACCCTAAGAAAATTTATCAAGAGTTTGATCCAGTTCTGCCACATCAAACTTTAAATCACAGTTTTCAGTCCTTTACGTGTAGTCCTTTAAGTAAGACATTGATTATGCTCCCGCCTTTTAGCAACATTCGTTCACGAGGAATTCATTCATTCACTGCGCAAAAAAGTCTGTGGGAAATCCATTGTAAATCTGCAGATTCCTAACCTTGATAATTTGTACTTAATTTAACCATTGGAACAAGGGAAAACTCTTTAAACCTGGCTGGGGAATTTGGGGAGTTGAAATCCAACATCTTAAAGTTCCTGAGGCTGAGAAGCAATGTTTTTAGATTAGAACATTCATCTTAAATTGCCCCCAACTTTCAAAAACTCTTACCTAAAAAGTTCGACCTCTACTTCACCAAAGGGTCGTGGCTCATTAGCAGGCAGCATGCTAAGGAAGGCAGCTTTCATATATACATACATTGCCTGCAACAAAGTAGAACATTACAGGATTCTGGCAGGAGCCGACTTATTTATTTACTTATTTTAAACATTTATGTAGCTGCCCATCTTATGCCGAACTATGGGCAGCTCCCAAGAAATAAAACAACATAAAAACCTTATCTGGCATTCTTTTTCACCCAGAGACCAGCATCACCATCTTTACAAGATAGACCAGGCTAAGAAACCAATGCCAAGAAGATGGGACTATCTTTATTGTAATAGTCATAGTAATGGAATGTTGCAAGTCTGAATGCATCTTCATGTGAACTAGGAAGAAGGTGTCTGAGACATTTGCTGACATTAGTTTCTTGGCCTGGGTTCAAACCCTGTTTATCTGACTGTTGTCTTGATAGCAGCTCTTCCTCCTATCCTTCAAAGCCATTACTTATGTACTCTACAAGCATGGAAAGAGGCAGAATCATCCTCTTCCATTACAGGTCCCCAGGCAGCTATTAGTTGTTAAACTATGATAGCAATAGCAATAGCAGTTAGACTTATATACCGCTTCATAGGGCTTTCAGCCCTCTCTAAGCGGTTTACA